TTTCTTGTTCCTCCATGAAATTTTATCAGAATAACATTAAGATGAATATTTCAATACTGGGTCTACGCTATCAGTGGGAAGGTAGCATGCGAAGAAATATGCTTCAAATTTAATTAATTTTAACTATGTCCTGAAGATGACATTGGAAGCTCACTATTTGTTCTTGGAAAATGATATTTAACAAAAACATTCCACCTCCTCCAAATATCCTTTGGCTGCTCCATTAACTCAGTAGCTCAGACAGTAAGGAAAATAATAAATTTTTAGTGCATGACGCATACTAAAAATTTTAGGATCAAGCGTAGCTGCTGACGCATGATGGGAAAATTGCTAGGCTGGTAAATATTAGGATAACTTTTTTCTTTTAAAAAAACTAGCAGATTTTTTTGTTTATGTTTTATGGAAAGAACAATACTTAAACATGAGGAAACGCAAGACTTGGTTGCCTGTGCCATCTGCCTGCCCTGTTGTGCGCGGTGTTCAATGTTTAATTATAGCAGTCCAATTCTTCAGGCTTTATGCCCATGTGTTCAGCTACACAGGTATCCAGCTACACAGCAGCCTGCAGGTTACTGCCTCGCAGCTCCTCACAGATTGTAATAGTTTCTGGCCCAGAATATTTCTTCCTTAGCAAAAGTAACTGAAAGCCATTTTTGCATCTGTTATTCTCATTCCGCCCACAGCAGTTCACTACCCAGTCATGCCAGTGCCGTGTGTGGTCAACCAGAAACCTGACCAGAGAAGTGAGACATTAAACACAACCTCATGTCGTTGTAGCATGTTTACAAATCCTAACTTTCCAAGTTTAATCTTAACACCACTTCAGCAATGATGCCAGCATTGCAGCCCCGCAAGCACCAACATGGGCCCTACCCAAGAAACATCAGACTGTGAAGAGCTTCTGAGCCAGCCATGCTTCAGAAGGAAACAGAGTGACTACGGTTAAATGGATATTTTTTTCCCTTTTTTTTTTCCAATTTATATGAAGCTTGAACTATCATGCATCCATGATCAAAGTATCAATTCTTTGGACTAAACTCCTTTTTCACAAAACCCAAGGAGTCTGAGGAGACATATCCAGGGTGGACTGTTCCAGATGTCTGAGGTGGGTCTCAAAAAAATTCCAGTTATGAACTACTTGTGGCAGAGGCTACTCTGGTATGTTAATGGCGGGGGGAAGTCCAGCATATTTTCTGTGCTACTGCAAAAAAAATGTAATTATACACCTGGCATGAAAACAAGAAAGCAAAAGGCTCTGAACCCAAGAAAAACGTTATTAGGGCTGTATTTTTAGAGCAGTCAGAACGGATCAGGTGTGTGAGCATCCTGACATGTTTCTTCATGATGGAATGATGGCTCAGTTTCAAAGGGCACCAAAGAATACACTGTACTGTATTGTATCACTCGGGGTTTTGTCAAATCAAATCTGATGGGAATTAACAAGAAGAAGAATATAGGAGGAGAATGGCAAATAGACAAGGAATAAGGGAACATCAATGGAATTTTCAAACAATGATGTCTAACTTACTGAAATGTGTCACAGTTTAATCCATTTTAAATTAATTTCAATTCTCTTGGGCAATAAAGCTAGCTTCAAGGCAGCGGAAAGCGTGCATTTTTAGTAAGCCACAAAAGCATAGATTTTTAAATGCATTGTAATAATAGTACTAAAACAAAAGATTGCATGATTAAATGTTAACGACTGAGAAACAACTAAAGAAGTTGTAAGTGCACACTTCAGACCCCTTTGTGTACTATAAACCCAAATAGGTCTATTTATTGGCTTTTTTTTTTAGTTTTGCTGTAGAAAGTCTATAGAATTAGTGGTGCAACAGCACAGAAGCAACAGAGCTCTGATGAGGACTCAGAAACCAGTGATGCTTAAACCAGCTCAGCTTTAAAAAGGAATTATCTGCTAAAGTAAAATTCTGATGCTAAAACAGACTAGAATGTTACAGCCATGAATGTTTAATATATGCAAATGATCTTAAAAAACAACTGAGTTTTATGCTGAATATGACTAAAGCAAAAGAATTGGCCCAACTTTTACAGTTTGCAGAAAATAACTCATTACTGTAATTGTTTCATTGTGCAAATGTGAACTAATGTGCTGCTACCATTCTGATAAATCAGAAATAAAAAAAAAATTAAAGTATCCAGAACTATAGTGCTGTGATGACATCCTAGGGATCCCATGCTGCTCTTATTCACCCATTGTGAACAAAAGATACATGTTTTGAACCTTAGAACTATCCTGTTGGAACAAGCTAAGTATTTCTGCCTATTGGAAAGTTTTAGCAATTATTAAGTATCCATCCATCCATTTTTTCAAAGGAACCTTGCAACACAGCATGCAATTCTATTAGTTATCTGTGCCTTCAGCTGCATAGCAGCAGCATTTGCTGCCCTCTGGTGTAGCAAAAAAAGAAAAAATCACTTACAAGTAACTGGAATATACAAATTAGGTAAACTGCTAGGATTTCTTAATTTACAAAATAATTAGGAAACCTCACACTTACGCTACCTGGGTAAAGACAGCCACATTACCAAGAGAATGGTAACAAACATAATTAAAAATCTATGTGATAGTGTGCTTCTATGGCAATATTTTCTAGACTAAGTATAACCCATTTATAAGTGAAATAAACCATCTTAGCATGAATCTTTGCATGATTTTTCTGTAAGAGTCAAGCTTGATTCTTCCTCTTTTGAATCATCTATAATTAAGGCACCAGAAGCAAACCTTTCTCCTTTCACCTGCCATCCTCATACTTCTCACTGTATTCATAAATCTTAGATAACATCATTTCAGTATTTTTAGCTAAACAGTCATTAAATATGATATATAGTATCGACTATATTTTTTAATCAGAAGTGCATATATGTTCTACTCTACAGAGAAGTTACAAAGACATGTTAACCAGCAGAACAATTGCAAGTGAAATTCCTTCTTACCAAACACAATGCACATAAGTTGGAAATAGTTTGTATTTTTCACACTTTACACTACGTGAAATTAAGCTATGGAAACTCGGGAAAAGGAGGCAGAGACCACAGTGGGAAGCCCAGCTAAAGCCATACTGCTTGGATGTAGAAAGAACATAATGCAAATATCAAGCCAATTTATAAACAAGCAGTACCCTTCATATTTCAATCCGGACAGAGGTACCCAGTAGGACAAGTAACTATATTCTTAGGATGCTTTACCCTTTCCAATACTAAAACATAAAAGAAGTCACCATCTTCATTGGTTTGCAATATGCTTTACAATTTAGGAAAAATACCATAGTCTGCTGCGATTGAGAGACGGGACACTGCTTGATGCAAGCAAGTTGTCGATTTATTATGGCTTTCTCTTCTACTTTTATACATATCAGAAACAATACACTCAGATCAAGGGATAGCACGTCCCTTGATGACTGATTGACTCCTTAAGCGCTTACTAATTGCCGGTTAACAGTTTCCAAGTTTAGCACGCACTAATTGCCTGTTAACAGTTTCCAAGTTTATCTCAAGTCAGTAAAACGGTGTCAAGATGACCTATTGTTCAATGCAAGGTGGGCACTCTTGTTTCTTCGAAGCAAGACTCTTATCTTGTGCCTCCCAGGGCTTGCGTCCAACAAGTCCTAACATGTCCTCCCTTTTCAGTTGAGCAACACTGGGAGCCCTGCAAAGGCGGGCTGAGCCATTTCCTTCAATAGTCCAGAAACACACTCTTCAGCATCTTCAAGTTTATCTCGAATTCTTAGGAATTAACTTCCTTTGGTTTTCTCTATTTCTTAAGGAAGCGCTTGCAATGTTTCACAATCATTACTTTGTACAGACACTCTAAAAAACTTTTCCAACCACACTAAAAGAGCCACATCGTTAACTGGGATTCAAGCAAGCATAACCAACAAGTTCACAGAATCTTCATGGTTGGAAGGGACCTTTGAGATCATCAAGTCTAACTATACGTTCATCGTATTCAATCATACCATACGATCATCAAGTCCAACCAAGTTCCCCCACCACGTTACTGTGACTTGTCTCTGAAGGCTGCTTGCCCTTTATAATGAAGAGTCATCCTGCAAGGGGGCACTGATCTTTACTTATGTGTCACGTGTTTGTTGCTCGGCCTTTAAAATGTGCTGAGTATTGAGAATATTGGAGTACAAGTCATATGAGGAGAGGCTGAGGAAGCTGGGGTTGTTCAGCCTGGAGAACAGGAGGCTGAGGGGAAGCCTTATTGCTCTCTACAGCTACCTGACAGGAGGTTGTAGAGAGATGGGGCTTGGTCTCTTCTCCCAAGTCCCAGGTGAAAGGAGTAGAGAAAACGGCCTCAAGTTGTGCCAGGGGAGGTTCAGGTTGGATATTAGGAAAAAATTTTACACTGAAAGGGTTATCAAGCATTGGAATGGGCTGCCCAAGGAAGTGGTAGAGGCACCATCCCTGGAGGTGTTCAAAAGACGGGTTGACATGGTGCTAGGGGGCATGGTTTAGTGATGGTTTTTTTTTGTCAGAATTGGGTTGATGGTTGGACTAGATGATCTTGAAGGTCCCTTCCAACCTAGATGATTCTATGATTCTACTATCAAGGGACAGAGTTAATTGTTAGCAGTTTATACTCAAATATCATCCTTGAAATGTTTTTTAAGCTTGAATTTATGAGTGGATTAAGTTGCAGTTTCTGGTTTTCCTTCCATGTAAGAGATTCAAGAGTTGTCTTCACAAAACATCACAAGTTCTGTTTCCAGCCCATTACAAAACCTGTACTCTCACCCCAGCTATTCCCGTTCCCAAGTCCCAGAGAGCAGATGAGACACCTTTTGGACACCTACTCGTGGGGCAACACAATAAAGCAATTGATGCTTCTGTTCTTTCTTCTCTCTGGACAGTGACTATGGTGTATGTAAGGGGAGACAAACAGGAACAGGAGTTTTCCAGTGGGACTCGCCCATGCCATCCTTTGTCACCAAACACGTTGCCTGCTCACTCAGGGAAAAGGCAAGTTCCTAAGATTCAGTCACAGAACAGATTTTTATTAAGAGTAACAGTAACAGGAAACTTGCTGGATTTAGGTACAAATTTTGCTCAGTTTTCACAAGACTGCATTGCAGACCTACTGGTCAGTGCCCAAATTCAATTAAGGGAAATCTTTCAGCCACATTCCTCAGTATGTGAGGAACAGGCACTCTTCAAACAACTTGCTCCAGCTCGCATGGAAAGTGAGAAACAGTTCTTCCCCACAAAACTTGCAGGTAAAATTTATTTAGGACCACTTCACCCATGCCCTTATCTTAGTACCTGCAACACAACTGGAAAAATGCCGCTTTTGAATTCTTCGGAAGATGGATTCACTGCCATGAATGTGGCCTCGGGAACATGCACGCTTTTCCTTACTTTATTACAGTATTATGAATAACTTAGTTTGTAAGACTTGATAAATGAGTCACCTGCTCTGTGTCAAAAATGAGAGCACTTAATTTCTCCTGGCAACATATCTCTAAGTCTTACTTTGAGGTCTTCCCATTCATTAGAAACTAAAATTTATTTTTACTATGGCACGAGAATAGAAAACCTATTTTAAGTGGCAAATCAAAATCAAAACCCATTCAGCTTGGAATCTGATCTGAGACTGTGTCAGCTCAAAGCATTTTATTTCAAAGTAATAGTGAATAACCCTTAAGTTCCCCTTGGGAAGGGCAGATAAATTTGGAGAAGTCTTCCAGCAAAACAGTTTAGCTTCTCTGCATCACCTATTCCATATTAACAGTGTCTAACCCCACAATACACTTGTTTAGTGCCATATAGAAAAAAAAATAATTACTAGATGACTAAAAAGCATTACTAAAAGAAAAGTAGTAAAGTTGGATCAGAGACAATCAAGGTTTGGAAAATTCGAACTACAGGCAAGGAGGATGAGGGAAGAAAATCGTACTTAAAGAAAAGCCATTTTGGAGTTTTAAAGCACTACAACAATTGACTTATGCTGTCCCACAAATTACCCCACACAATAAGCGCTAACAACAAATCAAATCCTTTGAGTGTCAACAAGCTTCCTCCCTCTCCTCAAAACACGTTTTTGGAAAGCGAAGCTTCCTCCCTCTCCTCAAAACACATTTTTGGTAAGCAAGCACGCATCAGCCTGGCTGGGAAAATACTATCCATAAAGTATCCAAGACCTGCACCTCGGATGGTGGCACCGAAACGCTAAATACTGAGTGACCAGCACTCCTTTTAGAGCAAAGGGCTCCTGTGAGCAGATTACCAAGCAAAACATCAGAAAATGCCCAGCGAGTTTTATTCTTTTCCATTAAAAAAAAAAAAATCCAAACGATTGTACAACGGGTTAAACGGGTAGGAGCTGTCCAGGAGCAGGCATTTTACAAAACTCGGTCCCCGTCAGTGTCCTTCGAGGGAGCACCACCCGAGGAGAGCAGAGGGACCAGCAGGGCGGCGGGCCGCAGGCGGGAGGGCTCCCCGCGCTCACTGGGGCGGCTCCTGGGATCTTCCCCGGGGTGGGCCGGCAGGCAGCCGCCCTCAGCGGAGCCCAGGCGGGCTAGGACTCGTCGGGCTTGTCGGCGGGCGGCCCGCAGGGCTGCAGCATCTTCTCCATCAGGTTGAAGCGGACGCGGGCCTTGCTCTCGTTCTCGGCGATGGCGAAGTAGTTGAGGAGGTCGAAGTGGCCCATGTAGGAGCAGTACGAGTCCCGGTGCTGGTTCACCAGCCACTCCCACTTGGTGGTGTCGGCGTGGCCCGTCCCGATGTACTTGGACTGCAGGTGCTCCAGCTGGCTGTGGATGGTGTAGCGGTCCGTCATCCTGGCGGCCGGCGGGCGAAATGGCGGGCGGAAGTGACGTCGCTTCCCTGCAACCGGGAACCTTCTCCGCCCCTCCGACCGGGGCACAGCAACCACCCCGGCCCCACGCCCGATCCTCGGGCCGGCCAGCCGTTAATTACGGCTCCGCGGTCCGCTCCGGAAAATTAAAGAAAATTAAAAGATGAATTAAAAAATTAATCCATGAGAACGGTGCTTTCCTGCCGCGATGCACGATGGGAGCGCCACCGAAGGGCATGATGGGAGTTGTAGTCTTCGCCTCTCGCCGCCCAGGCGGGCCCGGGGGGGAGCCGGGCCGCCCCCTCCTCGGCCCCCTGCCCCGGCGCTGCGGCCTGGCCGGCACGGCAAAAGCCCGAGGGCCGCCCCTCGGGGCGCAGCTCATCCCAGCTCCTGGAATTGTCTCTGTATAAACGGCGTCTCATTTTTGCCTCCTAAACAGGCGACACAGGGAGTCTGGCTCTGAAGAAAGATAAAGCTGCCCAGAGAAGAGCCAGGAGGTGCCTGGAGCCGCCCAAACCACTCCTTTTCCTTCACCCTTGGGCGGCTGGAGGGCAGTGCAACACTTTCTGTGGGGGCTCTTGTACAAGAAGTCCATGTAGAGAAAGACTGAAGAAGTGCCTTCATGCCTTCAGTGGAGCCCAGTAACAGGACAAGGGGCACCAGGCACAAAGTGGAACTGAGGAAATTCCTCCTTGACATGAGGAAAAACTTCTTTACTCTGAGGGTGGCAGAGCACTGGAAGAGGCTGCCCAGAGAGTTCTGTGGAAGATATTCAAACCCCAAAATCTCTGGAGATACTCAAAACCCACCCAGATGTGTTCCTGTGCAACCTGCTCTGGGTGATCCTGCTTTGGCAGGGTGGTTGGACTAGATGATCTCCAAAGGTCCCTTCCAACCCCTACAATTCTCTGATTCTGTGATTCTCTGATTTGCAGGGCCTCCCAAAATAAGTAGTTTGGTGAGGTTCAGTCTGTTACATGCCGCTGATGAAAAGCACCATAGGTCCCACCGCTGCTCCTTGGTAAGGTGCAGAGCTCTTACTTTTCCTCAGGCAGGCTTTGCAGCTGAGCCAGGTCAAGGGATTTAAGCGAAAATTAAGTATTACTGTTGAAAAAGATTATTTTTTTGACAGTGCAGGTGGTATTTTTAAGTGAATGTTAAACTCACAAGCAGATACAAACCCCACAGAAGTTATAAATGGCATTGTCTATCTTCTTTGGTCAGAATGGAGCTTGAGATAAATTTTATCTGCCACATAAGTAGTCTTTCTTCTCCAGCTCTCTTCAAGAGCTTACATAACGTTAAGTTTAAAATACATGAAATGATTCATGCTTTCATATGACGGTAGTGGTTTTAATTACTTGTTTTAAAATAGAAAGGACATGTTGCCAGAAATCTTCCAATAGGACACTGAGCTGCTTCATCCTGGCCTTGTTAACGCCCTGTAGTCAAAAGAAATCTACAGAAATATTCTGTGAAAACCCGGATGATTCTAAGCCCTTTGTTTAAAAGCAAGCAACTTATAAAACCAAGGCCACAGAAAGTAGCATCAAAACAACGTCTTGAAGTGTCCGTACCCTTTCATGCAAAGAACTAAATGAGGACTGTAATTTTTTTGTTATTATTTGTTATTATTATTTTTACAAGTATCCGTTGAGTCATTGCTATCAAGGCTTACTTAGCAGGAAGCACTTTACACAGCTGGATACCGCAATTGCATTCTGTTGTTGCTTCCATGGGGACTGAAAAAGAAAAAACACACAAACAAAAATCCTCTGGATTTTCTGTATGTGCTGGTGTATAGAAAGACAAAGAAAAACATATTCTGAACATGGGAAAGCTGCCATTTCTTTTTTAAATGGTATATTTATAAATAGCAAGACAGTATGAAGGACACTGACTTTTGATAGATGTTCAGTGACACATAGGGCTGATCTCAGAGCTGTTTTCAAATTATCATCTTGAAAACTCTAAGCCAGGAGATATATTGATTAAAATAATCAGTTTTCAGAATAGAAAAGATACCCAGAAATTTATTCATCTCTTGCAGCTGTTGCAGGAGTTTCTAGGAGTAATAGTTGCCTTAAACCAAACAGGTGTTAGCATTCTAGTTCAAAAAAACCACCCTGCAAAGGAAGTGTAAACCTGAATTTTTTAGCAAGGTTGATAGTGCTCCAGATTAAAACATTGCATTCAGAACTCTGGAAAAAGATGTACAAAAACTTCACTGTATATTGGCCTTGATAAAAACCTTCTCTGAGAGTACAAGACAAGCTTAGCAATACTAGGAAGAATAAACAGGTAGTAAAATTACCAGCTAAACAAATTACCAGCTAAACAAACAAATAACAAATATTTACAAGTAGTTACCTAACTTCAGATTTCACCTGAAGACTACAAAGTTTCAGCTGCCAGCTTTGAAGAATTACATTCAATTATATTCACTTTATCTCCATTTCTTCTTCGATGCAAAAATAAAATGTGTTGTTGGGCCTTGTTTTTCTTGTCAGGTCCTTGCAAAATGGATGCCCATACTGGGGCACTTTCATTTCAAGTTTCGGAACACTGAGTGGCTGGGGGGAGGGAGAAGATGTAAATATGCATGCACGGATGTAGATTTTATAGCAAGAAAATCATCACTGAGTGGTAATACACTTGTGTGATTAGGGATTCCTGAATAATTTAGCATTCTAGGATATTTCAAGGTTTTCGTACTGAATACTATTAAATATAATTATCAAAATATTTTATATTTGTCTTAGTCTCTGAAGTCATGTTGATAAATAATTAGTGTCTGAAACAACCATTACTTGGTTACGGAAATCACTTATATGTGTAGATTTAAATGCTGAAATAATCTGTTTGGAGATTGAAGTCCTATCACTTCAAGATTCAAATGGTCGAGACACCAGAGGCAGGTCATGAACGGCAGTGGCCACTGGATGTCAGGGTTGGACCTGCAGAAGCTCTTCTTCCACGAAACAAGAGTTGGCTGCTCCTCCGAAATGAAGAGAAAGAGGGCAGGGGAGGCAGGTAGACCAACAGAGTGACAGTGGCTCTCTGCTGCAAGACATAACAGAGCTTTTTAATTTCCTACTGACTCTTCAGGTGGAAGAATGAAGACATAAATACCACACAATCAAGGGGTTACAACGATTTTAATAGATAAATCCCACACACATCCAGAAAGGTGATAAAATGGAGAGGAGTGACATTTTTCTTTTCAGAAATTCCTTTGTTCTTCACTATATTGATTTATCCTACAAATACAATTTCAGAGCAAGAAAAAAAATATTTGAGATTGCATTATCCTGGAAAAAATGGTGCTAGAAATTTAAAAAAAATGTTAAGAAATTAATGTATTTATGTGGTAAATTACCTTTTTTAGTTAAAAGAGCGCATTTTCTTTAGAAATATGTTGCTTCTACTGTAACAGTGTTCTTAAATAATTATTTGCAGAGGTGACATTACCATTTAGCGTTTTTAGTAGGCTGCAAAGCTTACTTTTCTTTAATTGCATGGTCTTTTTTTTCTCAGATTTGCTGTGTCATCACATAGACTACGAAAGCCTTTTTCTAATGTACGCGGTTTCTCAAATGCTGTTACCAGCCTACCGACATGAACAGCCTCAGGAAGCCCTTACTTTGGCCCTGTAACAGGTAGAAGATCTTTTTAACTGCTTTTCTCAGAGGTCCGGTGAAAAACTATTTTCATAAGCAAGTATCTTTCTCCAACTGGTTTTGTGTAAGCTCCTCTAATTTCTTTTCCTTGGAGACAGAAGTGGGATTTTGCTCCAGTGCAAGAATATGCCTTTGTACTGCAACTTTGGGGCTGCTTTGGAGAGGGAGGAAATACAGCCCCTGCAAGCATGGTTAAGTTTTAAACTTAAAAAAAGTTTTTTTCTTTAGACCAACTGCTAGAAACTATGTTTTGCCATTGCTTTGATTTTAGTCTGTAAATACCGAAGTATCTAAAAGCTTCTTTTAGGCTTGTGCTGCTGATTCTTTGTCAAAGCTGGAATAAAAACATATAATAAAAAATAGGAGAAGAAACAATACTGTTGAAAGTGTACACTTCCAGCTGCTGTGTATCAGCATTCCTGTCTGCAAAAGGTAATCATATAATTTTAAATTGGAACTGCAACTGGCGAAATTCACTGCTGAAAAATTATCTGGCCTGAGATGCAGGACAGGCATCCTTTAGTATCGGGTAGTGTTTTGTAGTATCAGCTTTGATATGTTGTGGTGTATCAAACCTTGGGACAGGAGGCTGTTGTACTCAGTGATTTGCAGCTTGCTGGAAATGAAACGTTGGATTGAAAATCATGCAATCTTTTTAATGCCAGTTTCAAATTTTTTAGGTTAGTTTTGTTTTGTTTTCATTGCATCATATGCTGCCAGAGCTATGCACTAAGCTTTATCAAAACTCCCTCGAGCACGCTATTGTTGCACAGTGGCAGAGTGAAAACCTAAAGGTCCTGATCGGGTAAATTGCCCCTGCGTTAGACCCTTCTCTATCAAGCTGAGTAGATCTGTGACCTGCACTAACAGTCCCTGGCCTTGGGGCAGCTTGTGGAGCACAAAAATTTGGTCTAGTACCTTCACACTCCATTGCTTGTTGTCACTATTATCATGACAGACTACTTCTTCTGTGTACGTTTGAATAACAGCTACGTGCCTTAGGTGTGTACTGTAATCTAATTAGCTTAATGTAGAGGCCATGGAGAATTTCCTAGCGTGGAGTAGGAGCACCCTAAAAGCAGAGCCACAGTAGGGGTCACTAGCACAGCGCTCAGGGATGAGACTGAAATAATGTGCTGATCTGAGAAATGTGATGCAGGGGGGGACGACGGAGCACCTCTATCAAGAGCAGGGTGGAGGTCTGGGAGAGACAGCTCTCACTTGCTTTAGAGAGAAGTTCTCTGTTCCAAAGCCATCACTTTGAAAATAAAAGCCCGTCCACTAATGTGATTAGTTACTGCTGCAGGTTAAAAATAGAGCTAATGATAGTCTGCCAGGTGAATT